AATGTAGAAATGATTTGGCATCGTTTTCACAGTTCGCTCATGTTGTCATGGCGCCTAGATAAACGAACCTTGTCTAAAGTCATCTACCATAGTATTCACGATCGTTTCCAGCGTCCCAACTCTCGCTACTCTTAGCACCTAGCCATAACTCGTCAATGCTTTTTTTAAAGGGATGTCCTTAGTGTATTTAATGTAGCGTCATCATACCTGCTGGGTCATTTCACCGTCCTCTTGGTAGCTAAAAATGCTCATCCGACCTTGCAGTCCGGAAACTACGTTATTCAACTATTATCAAAATACCACTAGTGCTTTCGAAGATTCTTTTTTGTCTTACTGCTTGACTTATTTCAATCGGTTTCAGCTACTATATGCTTCAATCATGGTTTTATTTCTTATGGCCTACCACAAGCTCTAGATAGCACGTATCCTGTAGCATCACCAAGCAGGGTTCCGAGAGTCTGATTCCCTAGCTTTCTAATATCAACCCAGGCGCTATAGACCAACTTAATACTGTTTTGCTTATCGCAGTTTGGCACATGTTCTGGATTCATCTCATGGCCATGCTTTGTGTTAACTTAACAATTCTACGATTTAACCAGTTTACTTGGAGCTTACAGAGAACCTATGTCTCTGGTCCTCAATGCTTCTCGAATGGATTTGTAGTCGAAATTACTTCGATCTACTATCCATAATAACGAATTCCTATGAGGTCTTCATATTCCCCTGTGAGCCAGACCCATAAAAAGTTGTTTTCTTCTAATGAAATTGTTTCTACCTCACTCAGCACAAATGTCTTCTTGATTTTCATATTCTTTTCACATGCTTCACCTGGTTGCGATCTCTTTTCCTCTGGTTAACGACAGATCCTTGATCTAGGCTTCTCCTTTTTGCTGTTCTTATCGTTTCCCTATTTAGCCCTAGTTTGTTTAAGTAGTAGACAAAGTTATCTATGATTGTGTTGATTAAATATACTTCAGTCGAAACAAACTGAAGGTTTGTAGTAGAGAGGGAGGGAGAAAGAATTATAAGCCATAGGCAGATGTGCCAGAGCACCTGAAGGAGTTATTCTACAATCATTCATCAGAAAGTTTGTCCAGGGATGGACTTCGCTTGTCTCTGGAGAATTTCAGCTTTATTTTGAAAATGGCAGGACTCACTGCTGATGCCGATCAAACGTCTGACAATGTAACAAGTCCATGGTCTGACTCTGGGATCTTAAGAGGGCTTTGGACAAGCTGCGTTCAACTAAATTACTCTTTCAATAAGGCTAAGTTGCGAAAATGAGGTAAAACCACTCATATACAGTGAATTAAGATGGGATCAAAATAGAGCTCACATCATCTTGGTCTTCACATCCGCGCTTTTTGCTTCTAACTTTATTTACTTGAATCGATTGTGTACACACCCTGTTAGCTTTATCTCTATATTTTAGACAAAGACTAATTAGCTATACGTTGAGAAATCTTTTTTGGATATAAAATGAATGGGATAGTTATTTGGGTCTATAATTGTAAACGAGGATTTGAAAAATAATTGACTTTATATTCCTTTGTCACCTCTTATCTTCTTATTGGTGCTAATTATGCTTTATTCTTGGCAGTACTGGGTCGATCAATTTGGAACGATCCTATTGGTATGGCTTAATTTAATTTTCCTATAAAAACTGGTAAACGTCCTCATACTATTTTTCAATAATTAGTTGAATTGGCGCTGTATTTTGGGCAACTTATTTCACATTCTGCATTTTCCATGAGATGAAATAATTCTTAATAATTAGATCTTTGGCTCTAACGTCGCTTCATTGAGCACAATCGCTTTTTTCTTACCTGAGTAGGGAAATTCCGACGTTTGTTTTTTCATTGCAGGTTCATTTTTTATCAATATTTATTTTCTAGGTAAGTTGATTCTTGCGTTTACTATATTCTGACAACGAAGTCAACCAACTAGATTCCCTTTAGACATTATGCTACATCTAGACTCACTGAAATCTTCCTGGTTTGCCAGAGACTGGTCTAACATTTTGAGCTTTGACGGCAAATATTACGATAACGTGTTTCTTTTTTTATTTAAATTTCCTTTAGATAGGTTTATAATCTGGTTTAGTCGAAAGTTATTTAGAATGTCCTCTTAAGTTGCCTTCGTGGTTTTTTGGAGTTGTTCTTTCCTTCGTATCATGCATTATTTATTGTGATTCTATTTATTAAGGTATGCAATTCTTATCCTCTTGTATTGTGGACGTAGCACTTAAATATTTAATGCAATTTCTTATATTTTTTAGATAAGCCAATCCTATTCTTTCTTATATACATAAAAGCACTTAGTCTCTTTTTTACAGATAAAGATTTTTTTCTTTTTTTGTTGAATTTATTTGTACCTTTCATAACTAGCTCATGTTTTAACTCAGTTTATACGAATCCTATTTTATTTTATATTGTTCCGAGTCCACCTAACATTGTCACACTTTTTTTAATCAATTGCATGCGCATACACACAAGGTTACACACGAACAAGTTTTTCGTGAAACCGAATACATATTTTTTCATATCCACACGTTAGCTCATAAACCAATATCCGTTTTTGTATGACTGCTCTAACTTCTTAGTCTGTCGTCAGCTCATTAGCCTCACTGTCAGTTCCTGATGACGATACCAGAGACCACAATAATCAAGTATTTCCTGAGATTAGAAATACTGAAATTAGCACCCCTGCTTGTGACGAAAGTGTCAACCACAACAGCAATCTGGCCTCTGGTTCGGTGTTTGGAGTTCACTGCTTGAGAAATGGTTCAGCAGACATGCCAGCCCCACAACAGCCCGAATTCGGTGCTTGCATCTTCGATGCTGATAGGTCCAGTCAGCAAACTTGTTCTATGCAAGGCGGTAACAGGAGCAGGACTTTTGTTTGCCCCCTTTCGGATGAAACTCTTCTTAACTCTTACGAATCAGAGAGCCCTGATGAACTGACGCTTGTTAAAACCGCCTGTCGACATGGCTGCAAACTATTGCAGCGAGGAGCTAATTTTGCCATTCTTTGGCTTCCACGTAAGTGGCAAGTTTTTTAGTAATTATAACAAATGCACTATTCTTAGTAAACAAGCCCTTTATAGATATAAAGACCAGGATGGTGTGGCCTTTTGTATGATCGAGGTCTCCTTTCGCAACTTGGTTAAACAACTTATATACAATCCCTCTATATTTCTCTGATATTCTCTTTGATATCTGACTCATTCGATATTTGTCTATATCCTTTGTGTCTTGGGTAATATTAGCGCCGATACGCATTAATTACTTATCTATCTCATTATATACTAATCTGTCTACTTTTTCTCCAATCTAGTTATTTTCTATACTATTTATCATTCTATTTATTACAGATTGCTAAACTTCTAGCCTATGTCTTTTTGATCAATTTA